TTCATCCCTTTCTCTCTCCTCCTCTCTCCCTTCTTCTTCATCCATCTCTCCCTCCTCCTTCCTCCCTCTCTCTCTCCTCCTTCGTCCATCTCTCCTCCTCCTTCCCCCCTTTCTCTCTCCTCCTTCTTCTTCGTCCATCTCTCCCTCGTCGTCGGGGGGAGCACAGAAAGGCACGGTTTTGGCTAGGCAACGCGCAATGCAGCAGGGGGAGGCCCGAAAAAAAAAAAAATAATAATAAAAAAAAAAAAATAATGTGGCGCATCTGGCGCACCACCCAGGGGAACAGCCCGCAGTTGCGCGCGCACCAGCGCACGGCGCATACAGATGTGCGCATGGCGCATGGCGCACTCAGATGCGCGATGCGCACGATGCGCGCGCATGGCGCACCGTGCATGCGCAGCGCATACATGCGCTGCAAGTATGAGACAAACCCATACACAAGAAGAAAAGGACAGAGAAAAAAGGAAATGAAAAGAGGATCAGAATGATGGTCAAATCAAAGTACAAGGGGCTACTCTCGAAATGTGCAAAGGAGAGAGTCAGGCCTGGACCCCACAGGACAAAATCGTCGAAAATACAATACGGAAATACTTTTCCGAGACTCCATTGGATGAAAAAGGCCGTTTGGGAAACCGATTTTCGGAGGTGCGGGCAGTTTTCCGAGGCCCGCCCCCTGGAAAAGGCACTCCGAAAAACTGCTCTTTTGTGTTTTCACATTACTTTCCGGTTGGAAAACGCACTTCGAAAAACTGCTCTTTTGCGTTTTCACATGACTTTGTTATGAACATGATTGTCCGTTGAAATTTTGTCAACGATCTCTCACAGGAACTCCCGTACTTGCCCATACATGCACAGAAGGAAGAGGAGAGGTAGTGGAGTGTCACAACGCCCAACAGATAGAACGCAGCGGAAGACTCAGAGAAGTGAAGTGACAGAACACACAACACTGTGAATTCTTTCCACACAAGTCCCAACAATCATTCATATGAGACAACCGAGTGATCACAACCAGAAATCAATGAAGAGATGACAACTCAAACACAGTATTACAACTGTTTATTAAACTCAGAGCGTTGTTTTCACTGAATAACCTCAGAAACCTGTTGCGCTACCCTCAGAGGGGAAGCGCCTCAACCCCACACACACCGAACAGCTAAAAATAGCACCAGAACCCCGGGTAACACCCAACGCCACCCTGAGATCCAACTCAGTGGTCTGCGCCAAGATGAAACATACCCTCAGAGGGGTAGCGCCTCAACCCCACACACACCGAACAGCTAAAAATAGCACCATAACCCCAGGTAACACCCAGTGCCACCCTGACATCCAACTCAGTGGCCTGCGCCAAGATGAAACAGGCCCCCAGAGCCAATCGCCACTCAGATGATGAGGAAGAAGCTCAACACCAACAGTCTCTGATTAAGATGAAGTCCAGACAATGATAATCTTTGAGAAGATGCAGATATGGCTGCATCGCCACAGGGACCCTACTCCTGAGGAAGGTCAGCAGTGCACCACGTGCTCAAACGCATCAGACCCCTTATAGCCCAGGCCGCTTTGACTCTCAGAGAGTCAGAGTAGACAACGTTGACCCCAGTCTGGTCAGCGCTCTGAAGGTCTGGCTATGTCCGCCGTCTCCCATGCATGTATCAGTCACCACGACCTGCTGCCGCGTGCGCAGCAACTTCCACCACGAAGTGTCAACTGCCAAAAGCCCCGGGCCAATTCTCTCAACCTATCTATACTCTACCCTACCCTAAACTCGACCAAGACCGGACTAACTGACCGACCGGTACCGTTTCTGTTTCGGCCCTTAGGGCCTCTCCCTACCCGGCTATAGGGTATAGGGTCGTCTATCAGCGTAGGCCCCTTGGGCCTGTCTGTCCTAGGGGTAGCCCGGGTCTGCTATTCGCAGTTAGGGTAGCTGTAGGAAATTCGAGCTAGTATTGGGCCCATATTTCCTATATTTACAAATATGTCCCTCACAAATTTTCCTTACAGGTAGGGCTCTCGGTTTAGCCCTCAGCCAAACAAAATTACGAATTTGTCCCTACCTATGGTACAACCTCGTCAGAGAGAGGCTACAGGCAACCTCGAACCAGCAAGTCATTTCAGACCTCCAAGCTACGGGCGTAGGCGTGCAGAACGCCGAGGGATAATCCCTTTCTGCACAGCCTTATATTTGAGGACAGCAGACTTTGCTGTTTTCATAAATTCCTTGCGAGTAAACCAACGATCCTTAGTATGGGGCTGGTAAAGAAACTTCACAAGGTACTCCTTATCCGGACCTGTACTGTACTCATCCTCAATTGATTCCACCTCATACCCCTTCCCAGGGATAGGGGGACCAAACTGAGGAGGCCTGTTTGGAAATGCACCAGCTGGGGTAAATGGCAGCAACTTGGATGCACGAAAGACAGGGTAGGTTTGTAAATGCAGTGGGACATCTACGTGATAAGATGGCCCAAAAGGGTCAGCTCCCACTGTATCCAAAACCTGCCATGGACCCATATAACGCGGCAACAACTTGGGTGAAATGTCCTCCTCTCGCGATAGCTCAGAACTAAGTACCCAGACCCAGTCACCAGCGCGAATGGGGGATGGTCGATGATGCTTGTTAGCTTGCTGAATCATAGCCTTTTGGGCTTTGAGCAGGTTAACTCTGGCTCGTTCGATATCCCTCTCGTACTGTCTAGTGAATGCCACAGTCCCAGGCGTCAGTCTGGGGGGAAGCCTTATCGATGATATCATCGAGAGGCTGTCGTGGTTCACGTCCCCAATGCAACCAATAAGGGGTGAACCCTGTGGAGGAGTGTACAGACGTATTGTACACTAGTTGTGCCCATCCTAAGTGGAGATCCCAGTGTTGTTTATCAGGTCTGATCACCGGACGCAGCAACTAGAAAAGAATCTGGTTCATCACCTCAGCCTGCCCATTGGCTTCAGGATGGTGACCAGAGGTCATGTCCAGTCTGGAATGAAGGTAGTCCTTACAGTAGGACTGCCACTCATTGCTGCAAAAGCGTGGATCTCGGTCGGTAACGATAGAGGTGGGTGGTCCATGGTGTGTAACCCACCGGTCAGCAAAGGCCGCTTGGACGGCCAGGACTCTGGCTTCCTCTGGCAGTGGAATGAACTCTGCAGATTTAGAAAACCTGTCCACACATACCATGACCTGACGCATACCGCGAGGAGTAGTCCTCCCTAGGTCAGTGAAATCAATAGATACTGACTGCGCAGGTGCATTAGGGATGGGAAGCGGTTGCAGTAGGCCAAGGGGAGGTCGACGCACAACCTTGTTCCTTTGGCATAACTCACAGCAGGTCAGTCCTCAGTCCTCATCTCGGGCCAGAAGAACCGCTGCGACAGGGCTGCTAGTGATTTTAAGGCCCCAAAGTGGCCGGGAGCATCATGACACTTAGACATCATGAGTGTTCTCAGCTGGCGGTCCTGGGGAATGCACAAATGCTCCTCTCCTCTGCTGCAGGTGTATAGCCGACCTGAAACCGGTAAATATCCTGGTTCAGATGCAGGATCAGTCTGCAGATTCCTGACTATAGGGCCGAAAATCGGGTCCTGTAGCGACAACTCGGCAATGGTCTGACGGGTACTCTCCCCAAAAGTATGAGTAGAGGAGATCAGATAGAGAGCGTCAGGCCTACGAGAAAGGGCGTCTGCTATACAATTGTAGCAACCCTTTTTGTGTTTCAGGTCTGGAGTGATTTGAGTAGATCTTGAAGTGCCTACCCATGAGGAAATGCTTCCAATGATTGAGCGCTTGAGCACTGGCGCTAGAGCATACAACTCTTTCTCGTAGGTAGAATCTTGCAGCTTCTTCACTTTGATCTTTTTACTCATATACTCAACAGGCTGCAGACCATGCCCACTGTCCTGCTGAAGTACTGCCCCAACCCCATACTGGTTAGCATCAGTAGTTAGTACGAAGGGCAGGGTGGGTCAGGTAACTTCAGAACAGGTGCACGCATCAAGGCCTCCTTGAGGCGTGTAAAAGAGTGCTGACAGTCTGATGTCCAAAGAAAGTGGGTGTCTTTCTTTGTGAGGTCAATTAGGGGTGCAGCAAGAGCAGAAATGTTCATGACGAACTTTCTGTAATAGGAGGCAAGACCCAAAAATGACCGGACATCACGCACTGTAGTAGATTGTGGCCAGTCCTGAATCGCAGCAACCTTAGTTGCTTCAGGAGCTAGCCCTTCATAAGTCAGAGAAGTCACTCCAAAGGAGGACTTTTCCCTGTTGATCTTATATTGGGCGTCATGTAGTGCCTAGAAAACTAGAGCCAGATGTTGCGCATGATCCTCGATAGATCGACTGAATACCAGGATGTCATCCAGGTACACAACTACAAATCTATCCAGGTAAGGCCTGAGTATGCGATGCATCTCTATCTGGAATGTGCCAGGGGCATTGCAAAGACCGAAAGGCATGACCAGATACTCATAAGTACCGTATCTGGTCTTGAAGGCAGTCTTGTGGACATCGCCTTCAGCCATCTCAATCTGGTGGTAGCCAAATTTGAGATCGATCTTGCTGAAAATTGTGCAACCCTGCACCATGTCCAACAGATCATCAATCCTAGGAAGGGGCTCTGTCGACTTCCTAGTGATTTTGTTGAGACCCCAATTGTCTATGCACATTCTGAATTCTCCATTTCCCTTTGGTACAAAGAGAACTGCAGCCCCAAATTCAGAAGTGCTCGGTCTGATCCACCCCTTGCTGGCCAGGGTCTCAAGTTGTCTCCTGAGCTCATCGAGTTCAGCAGGTGACATCCTGTAGATACGACCCTTGGGAGGGACCGCACCTGGCAAGAGCTCAATCCTGTGCTGGGTCTGCCAGTGGACAAGTCCAGTCGGCTCCTGCATCAGGTTTGGGAACCGGTCCAAACCTGCTGAATCGATGAGGGACAAGGAACAACATCCACACCAGTTTGTTTCACGTATGTGACAAACAGACGTGTGTGGGCAGTCTGGCGAGAGAGCTGGAAAAACTTATGTGCTCTCAAACAATAGCAACTGCTGGCTGGGTGGTACTCATCAACTAGCACACAAGGTTGATAGTCCCCTCTACAGTCAGGGAGCTCAACCTTAGGGATCTGCCAGTCGATCCTAGGGTTAGTGGCCTCAAGCCACTGCATAGAGAAGACAAGATCAAAAGGCACGTTGGGGAACACGTAGAAGTTCAAGCGCTGCCTGACCTTCTCCTGCTTGTCAAAGATCACCGGTAGGTTCTTGACAGCAGTAGTAATCCTGACTGTGGAAGAGTCCCCAATACGGACTTCCAGTGGCTATTGCAACTTCACCAATCTCCCATCCAAGTGCAGCTTGCTAACCGCCTTGGGAGAGTTGAAGTTTCGTGTAGTCGCACAGTCTAATAGGCCTTTGATCTTGGCCCCCAGGATGGAAGGTTACAGCAAGATGAAGTCTGATTTATGCTTCTTCTTTTCCTGCAAAGATAGGAAAAAATCAGCAAAGTCTGACAGTCATCTTCCTGCCACGTCTCATCCAGGTCAGGGTCCATGTAAGTAAAGGATCCTGATGCAGCAACTCCAACAGGGTCAGTGAGGGTAGATGCAGATTCAAACTCGTCAGAATCTGAATCAGCGCAAGTGGAGGGAGCTGCTAACTCCACTTCCCTCTGCCGGTCTAGTTTTTTTAACTAGAACCAGGTTTGCGAGGCATATGGGGACAATCTTTCAAAAAGTGGTCCCCCTCACAGCAAAAGCAAACCTCACGGTCCTTCCTCCTCTGCCATTGCCCCTCTTGGATCCTGAGCGCTCTCCAGGGAAGGGTGGAAGGATCCATGGGGTTGACTGGCCAATTGACGTCTCGTGGTAAATTAGGTCTCTCGGCCTGAGGGGAAGTGGCACGTCCCTTCCCTTTCCCCTTTTGACTGGCTAAGCTCTTGCTGCTGTTGTTCCCCATCTTCCCTTTGAACATGGTAGCAAGGTTCTCAACCAAGGCAAGAACGGTTATCTCAACTGTTGATACTGATGCAGTCTCAGATGGAGGACTGCCACACTGAGATGCATCAGAATCAGATTTTGCATCAACAGCCAATAGAGCGCCCTTCTTGCTACACTCTCCCCTGGAAGAGGGCCTCCTCCTTCCGTAAGAAGGTTCCTGAACCTTGAGCCGAGACTCCAGGTCCAGGGCCGCTTTGCCAAAGGACCTCCAGTCCTTGTGACCCTGAGAGTACAAAGCAATGGAGTAGTCTGGAGGCGCGGCGCACAGGAAGTGAGTGAGCTGGTCAGACTCACTCATTTCGAGACCGCGTGTAGCAGTTAAGCTCTCAAACGGACTGTAGAGCTTGGACAGGGAACCCTCAAACCTGCGTGAACCCAGCAGCAGTATCTTATCTACTACTTTTCGGGCATGTTCCCTTTCTGCAAACCGGTCTCGCAGGGCCTGAAGCAACCCCTCCACCTTCACTTGTTGTGCCCATCTGTCCATGGGCAGATTCTGTTTCGCTGCGGAGGATGTGCACCATTTCAGATCAGTCCTCTCCAGACGCCCTAGAATCGTTCCTACCTTTGTCACCTCTGGACAAACAAACCTGCCCAGGTACGCCTGCATAGCGATAACCCAGTCTGAGACATCCACCTTGGGGTCTTCCCTGGAGTACATAGGAGGTGGCGTCGGCTTGGGCTGCCGCTGATCAGATGTGCCAGAGGGGACAAAGGTAGTGGACACGTGGGAACCAGTAGGTGAAGTTGGACGACTGTGGGATGGTGAACCGAATTTTAGGATAGGTTGAAGAGGTTGGGGAGGAGGCACAGGGAGTTGCAGATGCTGCAGAATTTTGTTGACACTCGCTGTCAGGGAATCAAGGCTTGCTGTCAACTTATCGACCTTGCGGTCAATGGCAGAGCATTGATTCTCTACATCGAGAATCTGTTGGTCCAGTTAGAAAAATAAGACCTGTTGAGAGTGTCTGTTAACAGCACCAACTCAACAGTATCCTTACTATACTGACTGGAAGTACCACTGACAACAACTTTCTCCACCTCTTTACGTAACTGTCTCCTCCTTTGCTTCCTTCATCTCCCTTTTCAACTGTTGGACATGGGCCTCTACCTTTTTGCGGTTTTCCTCCGCTTCAAGCAGGGCCTGTTCCAAGGGGCAGAGAGGAAGTGGGGGAGGGTGAGCAGAAGGTTTCCCTTCCTCAACCTTCGTCTCCGTGTCAGCCATCGTTACACACCCACACAGTCAAATAAATAAGACATGCAAAGACAAGGTGAGCAGAAATTAAGATTGCATCACACACAGACGGATGCAATCAATGCCACCTGATGAGAAGAGACATGGTGTGATAGGCAGAAGAGCGCTCAGCCTCTGCAGGCTGTTGAGGGCTATTCAGGGTCAGTTTAGGACAATCCCAGATAAAACCAACTTGCAATTTTTCATTCACAGCCCAGAACCCTCATCTGAGTGCAATAACCCCAGAGTCGCTGTCAGGCAATCATACAGGATGCAACCTAGGACTATAAGTAGGAGGGTTAGAATAGCGCAGAGAGTAAGCAGCGATTAATACCATTCAGTCGTCAACCACGATGCAGCGAATTACTGATAAAGCTATTTTTAGACTCCTACTACTAACACTGGCACTGTAGGACCCTGTACGCCTCACTATGGTTGACGCGAAGTACAAATATCATTGTATTTGACTCAAAACATCAATCCCAGTAGAGCGCTTTCAGACACTGACTCAACACTGAATTGCGATTTTAGGGTGACTGACAAACTGAAATTCTGAAGACGGAACCTAAGATATGACAAACCCTAGCTGCCCCAAGCACTGGCTATGGCAGCACAATATTCAGAATTCTATTATCATTGACAGATAGGTCCTGAACTCTCCTATTCACAGTGTGTACTGAATCGCAATACTATAAAACAGTCAAAGATGCAATTTGAGACAGAGAGGGGGTCAAACAGAGTCAGTAGAAGTCCAAGTAGATAGGTAGGAGAAATAGCTATGGCAGTCAGGCAGGGCGATTTTCAACTTCCACTGACTACAGACATCCAATTTCAATTTCTCCAGTCTGATTACAACTATCAAACTCGCTACAAAGACTTGAATAAGGAGCACACTTACTTCAGGGCAAAACACTTGAAGAAGAAGCTAAACTGGCTATAGCTGTCATATCGCCAGTTTCTTCCATTCACTGTTCCTGGTGCTCCCTCGTTCAAAATCTCCTGAAACTTGGTGATACTGAAGCTCTTGATATGGCGATTAATCCCCACTACTCAGATTCACTGAATCCAGCTCAGAATCTGAAACTCGACATACCCCCCAGGTATCTCGCCACTAGCAGAGTCAACGCCTGGGCTAAAAATAGCCCCTCGGTGCCTTCCAGGCCACTGAGCACTGAATCGCCACCAATCTCTCTGTCATACCAACCTCCACATGCTCCTCACCAACACCCTACTGAGCGCAATACTGAAGATGCGATTCCACCATGAAATCCAACGTCATAAGCTCTCAGGTAGTGATAGCTGCCTCAGTCCATCATCTCGCCATTGTGTGGGTCCGATATACCAATTGTTATGAACATGATTGTCCGTTGAAATTTTGTCAACGCTAACTCACAGGAACACTTGTACACGCCCATACATGCATAGAAGGAAGGGGAGAGGTAGTGGAGTGTAACACCACCCAACAGATAGAACGCAGCGGGAGACTCAGAGGAGCGAAGTGACAGAATACACAACACTGTGAATTCTCTCCACACAAGTCCCAACAATAATTCATAGGAGACAACCGAGTGATCACAGCCAGAAACCAATGAAGAGATGACAACTCAAACACAGTATTACAACTGTTTATTAAACTCAGAGCATCGTTTTCACTGAATACTCTCAGAAACCTGCTACGCTACCCTCAGAGGGGTAGCGCCTCAACCCCACACACACCGAACAGCTAAAAATAGCACCAGAACCCCAGGTAACACCCAGCGCCACCCTGACATCCAACTCAGTGGCCTGCGCCAAGATGAAACAAGCTCCCAGAGCCAATCGCCACTCAGATGATGAGGAAGAAGCTCAGCACCAACAGTCTCTAACGAAGATGACGTCCAAACGACGATAATCTCCGAGAAGATGCAGCTATGGCTGCATCGCCACTGGGACCCTACTCCTGAGGAGGGTCAGCAATGCACCACGTGCTCCAACACATCAGACCCCTTATAGCCCAGACCGCTTTGACTCTCAGAGAGTCAGAGCGGACAACGTTGAACCCAGTCTGGTCAGCGCTCTGAAGGTCTGGCTATGTCCGCCGTCTCCCACGCATGTATTAGTCACCACGACCCGATGCCGCGTGCGCGACAACTTCCACCACGAAGTGTCAACTGCCAAAAGCCCCGGGCCGATTCTCTCAACCTATCTATACTCTACCCTAGCCTAGACTCGACCTAGACCGGAATGACTGACCGACTGGTCCCGTTTGTGTTTCGTCCCTTAGCGCCTCTCCCTACCCAGCTATAGGCTATAGGACCGTCTATCAGCGTAGGCCCATTGGGCCTGTCTGTCCTAGGGGTAGCCCGGGTCTGCTATTCGCAGTTAGGGTAGCTATAGGAAATTCGAGTTAGTACTGGGCCCATATTTCCTATATTTACAAATATGTTCCTCACAAATTTTCCTTACAGGTAGGTCTCTCGGTTAGCCCTCAGCCAAACAAAATTACGAATTTGTCCCTACCTATGGTACAGCCTCGTCAGAGAGAGGCTACAGGCACCCTGGAACCAGCAAGTCATTGCAACTTTCCGGTTGGAAAACTGGCACGGGAGGACTTTCCGCTGGAATTTTGTATCATTTCCATAGGGTAACGAGGGGCCACGTCCTTGCTTGGAAACTCCTCGCCAAACTGCTGGTCCATCGATGGTCCGAGCCGAGACGTCCCATGAAAAGGGTGACAGATGCAAACATGCTCTCGTCACTCGCCACCCAAGACCAGACATCCATCCGAAACAGGTCCGCTGCCCTTCAAACGGACATCCAGGATCACGTCCTCGTCCCTCTCAAGTTTCCACCTTTCCGAGCTCGAAAAAAAAAAAAAAAAAAAAAAGAACAGAACTACCTTTTCCATCCTCTGAGGTGGGGTCCCGTCTTTCCGCAGGCAAACTCTTCCAATAACCCTTCCACGGAATTCCAATAACCAGGCCTTAGTGAATCTTCCGCTAGAACATGGAAAGATACACCGCTATGATTTTAGTCTTTTGTGCATGTCGAAGAGTAGTGGAGCGAGGCTCTAAGCTGGGGGGAGATTAAAAAAAAAAAAAAAAAAAGGGGTGGGGGGCGATCGGGAACCTGGAGGTTAGACTGAGGGCATTGCCAGCTGACCCAAATACAACTGTAATGACCGGGCATTCTATACCAGGTGAAGCCCATAGATTGTCCTAACATCCATCTGACCACGATTGTGGTCCCATTTGGGTGTAAGTATCTGACGGCAATTACGTCTAGAAGAAGTAGAAAAAGTCCCATTATGAGGATGTCCTGAATGTTTCCCCCAGTGAGGACTACTACGATCGTAAACGGCGTTTCTCAGTTGTCGCACAGGTGGTCGTTGATCTCAATCTGCGTGTGCTCGACGTTCACGTCGACTACCCTGGAAGTTGCCATGACGTCCGGGTCATCCAACTCTCAAGTCTATGGGCGCGTGCAGAGGCTGGCAATCTTTTCTCAGGCCCGCCAGTGATGCTCCCCTTCCAAGCGCAGACAAACGGATACTTGCTGGGCGACAACGGCTATCCTCCGTCAGAATGGATAGTTGTACCCTATGGAGGCATTGGTCAGCACCCTGTGGAGGAGCACGTCGACAACGAACAGAAGGTGGCGAGAGGGGCTGTGGAAAGGGCTTTCGGAAGGCTGAAGGGGATGTGGCGGTTGTTCCTGCGGRCGCACAAGACGAATATGGAGACCTTGCCGCTGCAGTTCGTAGCCGTTTGCATCCTTCACAATATCCTCATCGACGCAGGCATTCCATTTGACGAGAATCTGTTGTGAGAGGTGGACGCCAACGGAGTGCGGTGCCGTGTCGACCTCGGGATTCATCGCCCCCTGCGGCCTGTGTGCATGGAGAGTTCAACAGGTGATGCGCTCATTCTGAGGGACGCGTTGGCGGAGCGGATGAAGCTCGATTAGCGATGTCCCTCGTCCGTAGCATGCCCATCCTCGGTGGAGAGATGTGGTGAGAGGATGGCGGGTTTGGCATCGGTCCAGGGATGGCTGGAATGACGAAAGGGTGGGGTCTTGTGTCGTCGTCTTCATTTTTAGAATATTACGTCCCCAGAACTACTCGTAGAGTCCACAAGTACCCGCGAAGGTCGCCATTGTTTCGATCAGGGTGTGTCTGGAATGTTTGTGCTGTTTTTGCAGTTCCTTTTTTTTTTGGAACATAGAAATTTCCTTCGGCTTCGGCAGCGGCGGTCCGTTTTCTGCTAAGTCCAGCCAGTGACAGGGTGTGTCTTGGAAAGGATTGCATTTTCCATATCGTCGCTGGAAGTCCCCAGGCGGACGTCATTATTTACGCTACCAGCGTGTGTTTGTTTCCGACCGCCGTTCTACATATTACAACTTGTTTTGAGAGACGCGTTGTCGTTGATATTTATCGTGTTTAAGTTACGAAGCGTTTGAGTGTTGGCGTTGTCTTCTGTTTAAATTACGGAGGTTACACGGCGGAGGCGAGACGGCGACGGAGGCCAGACGGCAGAGGGGAGATGGTGACAGAGGGCAGACGGCAGAGGCGAGATGGCGACGGAGGGTAGACGGCAGTGGCGAGACAGCGATGAAGGCTAGACGGCAGAGGCGAGACATGAAGATCAGACGCGAGACATCACGAGACGGTGGCGGCGAGACGACGAGGGAGGCTAGACGACAGTGGCGAGACGGCGACGGAGGCTAGATGGCAGAGGCGAGACGGCGTCGGGGGCTAGACGACAGAGGAGAGACATCGAGATCAGACGTGAGACGTCAAGATCAGACGCGCAGGATGGAGAAGTCGGGGCGAGATGGCGGGTCTGCGATTGACAGGATGCGCGGTGATCCGGGAGAGAAAAATGTGAAGCCCTTGTCTGCAGATGACAATGGGGCTTTGTCGTTTATACCCACGTCCAAGGGACACGTTGGGTGCAATGTAGGGCATGGGTGGCGACTACGAATCGTCTCGCAAGACAAAGGGTGACAGACTGTGACACGTCCGCCCTTCGTCTAGCTCGGGACCCTCCTTTTTTGAACTGCCATTCGCGGGCCGCTTCGACTCACCCTTCGCACCCCAACATCACTGTCGAATTCCAACCCTCTCTTCAACCACAACCCCCGAAACCACCAAACACCCCCCCCCCCCCCCCCCCGACCMCCAAAAAAAAAAAAAAACATGCCTAAGTACATCCTCTTCGTTTTGTTTTCGACGTTTGGATTGTTTCGTTTCGTTTGAACTCACGGGCCCCCTTCGACATGGACTGCATTAAACGCACGCCAAAGTACGTTGTCTTCATTTTGTTTTCCACATTTGGAATGCGTCGTTTCGTTTAAACAGACGACCTTCCTTCGACGTGGAATGCATTAAAGACACGACCTTCTTCGTTCATGGACATCAGCAAAGACATGGAATTCAACTTTTCCATTTCCATTTATCTTTGAAATCTCACGACTATGAGGACACGATAATTAGACAACATTCAGTTTTTTGCAAACACACACACACACACACACACACACGCACACATTCGTTCATGGACTGTAGTAAAGACATGGAATTCAGCTTCTCTATATCCACTTATCTTTGAAATCCCATGACTATGAGGACACCGTAATTAGACAACATTCAGTTTTTCGCACACACACACACACACACCTGTAGAGGATGTTGTACACAAAGAGAGAGAGAGAGAGAGAGAGAGAGAGAGAGAGAGAGAGAGAGAGAGAGAGAGAGAGAGAGAGAGAGAGAGAGAGAGAATGAAGATAATAGTGAATGACATCGTCGGCCCCTGAAACTGTATTAACGAAAGCAGGAACCATTCCTGCCTTCTTCCATCGACGAAGATCCAGTGGACTAGGTTGTGCACAACAATACCCGAAACAAATTCATAGTAAAAAAAAAAAAAAAAACCCACTGGTTTTCCGAATAAACTAATTTGTAAACAGAAGGCAATGTAAGTGGACTTCCACTTCCGTGCCACGAAGTCTGCATATCTGCGCGTCATTCACAACGACTTCAGCAGTGTAGACGTGCACAAATAACAGCAGGGCTACATTGGAGGCCATCGCCCCAGTGGACGTCATCGGCAACGAGGTCGACTCACACGTCTTCTTAGAATGACGGTGATAGTGCAACGGGGGTGCGCATCGGCGCGTGGATGCACCTTACAGAAGGCTATCTCTCCCGAATAGCCTTCGCTATTTCCATGAGGGCGTCGCACATGAGCTTGCTGACATCATCGGACTCCACATAGTGTTTCTTTTGGGCGTCCACCTCGGACTCCATGATCTCGCACTGTCGCATCAACATCGAGCACTGCCTCTTGCTCGCGCTCTCCAAGGTTGTTGCCATCAGTGTGACGTGCTTCTCCATTACATCCGTCAACGCCTCGAACGTCTGCGGCCTCGTGTTCTTCCTTTTCGCCAACCCCTCAGTGCTACCCGTACTAAACGAAGAACCTTTACACTGCCTCTTGATCGCGCTCTCCAAGGTCGTCCCCATCAGTGTGTCGTGCTTCTCCATTACCTTCGTCAACGCCTTGAAAGTCTGCTGCCTCATGTTCTTCCTTTTCGCCAAACCCACAGTGCTACCCGTACTAAACGAAGAACCTTTAGTCGGCCCACCCTCTTCTTCATGTGGCTCGCCAAGTACGTCGCCCACGCCCCCGCCATCGCCTCTTCCCCCCCTTGAGCCGGACGGCATTTCGACACCACCCAGCACACCGTTGTCAGCGACGTTCCTCGGATGGATGGTGTGATTCTTTGCTGCCGATCCCTTGATCTCCTCATACACCACCCGCTCCATTACGAAGTTGAATCCGTGTGATCTCCTTTCCTTGCCCGTCAGCTAGAAGTAGTCCGGTTTCCCGGACTCCTGCATGAACCTATGCACCTTCTTGAATTGCTGCATCAAGTTGTCCCATTTTTTCCCGCAGTTCTCGCCACTCCTAACGACACCCTTCTTCAATCTCTCATGAACATCCTGGCACTTCCATTCCCTTGGCTTCATGCAGGCAAATGCTTGCCCCATACCCTCCAGGTGCGCATCCTGATCCCGTTTCGCCCTCACGAGAGCGACCATGTGCTCCACCGACCAGAAGTTCCTCCCACCGTCCACGTCCATGTCACCTTCGCCATCGCTCTCGCCAGATGCAGTCGTCTTCGTCTGTCGTCTATGCGCGGCAGAAGCTTTCTTGCTTCTTCCCCGACCACCCATGGATGTCCTGCCCACAGGCCGAATGTCCACAGCGCCCTCTTCGTCGTCTTCGTCTTCCTCGTCGATGTCTTTGAAGTCGTCTACTTCCACCGCCACCTCTTTATCTACGTCGCTTCCGTCTACATGCAGCTGCCGAACCCCCCTCGTTATCGCGTCTTCACAATCTCCACGAAGTTGTTGCCGATGTTCTGCCCACACTTGCCGACCCGTCCGCTCATCGACGTTGACTGCGAATCTGGTGTCCACACCGCCCCCACCCGAGCGCCTTCCAGTCACCTGACCTCCTGACAATTGCGATGGCAATTGCACCCGCTGCGAACAAACGACTTAGGGGCGTGTTGTCAGCGTCGACTTCGATTGCAGATAGTGTCGGTCCCTCGTCTTCTCTGCTGCCGACGATCCAACGGACGACCCCCCGCCCGACAGACCGACGAGCGCCGCATCACCCCAATTGTCGTCAGGGTGGAGATTGATGATGCGCGTACGTGTCGTCGTCGCTGAGCTCCCGCTACATAATCCGAACGACAGATTGACGTCGGCAAGTGTGTCTTCCTCGCCTATACCTTCTTCGAGCAGTTGTGTGTGCGATTGTCGAAACGTCGTTTGCCGATTTCCAAAGAACTGGCTCCCCGCCCAATCCTGCGTCGATCCGCTCCCGAGCGCCACGGTGCGAGATCCTACCTCCTCCACCTTATCATCCGCCGGCGGCAGCGGAATTCCGTGCGACAACAAGTGCGCGTACACAGACGGATCGTACTGCTGTGACTTTCGAGCACCGCTGTGCTGCGCGTGGTGAGCGGTGGGGGAGTCCAACAACGCCCTGCTCTTCGGCTGTCGGTCGTCCATGTCGACACCCTTCTTCACTGAATGCCTCCAGCGTGTACGGCCAGGCACCTTAAGGCTGATGCACACGTGGAACAGGACGACAACGATAAGCAAAATAACGACCAGGAGCAGCAGAGGAAGCCTGCGATAGAGGTAGGTCATCAACGACGCGTAGGATAGGGCCGCAACTTGATGACGGCGGTGGAGGTCCACCAAACGGCGACAGTGAAGGACGCAAACGGAAGAGGACAGCATACGACAAACGCACCATAACGTTATCCGTTGCCAACATTGGTTGGGCTGCTGGAGTCAGGTCAGGCAAAATATTCAATTTTGCCGACCGTTGAACCCCGTCGACGCTGGCGGGAAACCCCGTGGGAGCATGGCGACATCAGCCGCAAGAGCTACATGGGTCCCTCGTGGGTCGTCCTCCAACGTTAGCCGTTGGCGACCCGTTGGGCCCAGGACCGACGACGGCGGTCGAAGATGTCCATGCACCCGTTGGCGGAACACCAAATGGACCAGCCAAAAAAGGAAGCTGCCGCCGACGCGTGCCTTCGCCCCTCCAATTATCACGGATCCTCGAACCCCGAGGGACCTCGTGAGGTCCCTTGCACTAGGGCGACAAATGGCTGGGCCACAAGGATGCTACAAGGATTCCTCGAGGAAATGTTTTCACATTTTTTTGGAAAAATCTTCCCCGAGGATAGGTGGAACGATCACATCCTCGGGCATTTTACGTGCCCGAGGAGTGTCTAAAGAGCCCCTTAGTTAAAAAAAGAAAAAAAAGAAAAAAAAAAAAGAAAGGCGAGTCGGTGCTGAGTCAGAACTAGAATATCTGTTGGGCCTATAAGTTCATTAAGGATGGAGATTGTGGGGACCTCTAATAGAGAGAACTTTCCACTGGGGCAAGGTCAGACTTGCTCCCCCACTTGGTACCCCTTGCTCCCACTTGGGCCCAATTGGTCCCACTTGGTGGCACTTGGTCCCACTTGGTCCCACTTGCACAGATGACAAGACGCTGGTTGTCAGTCTCTGCTATCTTCAGGGCAAGATCCCACTTGGTCTGACTTACTCACACTTGCTCCTGCCTTGGGCCTCTTGGTACCACTCGGTCCCAAGTAGCCCCACTTGCTCCCAGGTGGTCCCACGTGGTCCCGTTTTGCAGGGATCATGAGATATGGGCCATCGATCATTGCCATCTCCCGGACAAGTTCCCACGTGGTCCCACGTGGTCCCGCTTGTATCGCTTGATCCATACAAGTGCGACCTCTCCGTTAGAGCCGATGGATCAGACATGGATTCTGAATTTGGACTTTTTAGGGAGGGTAGCACTGGGGGTTACAGCTGGGAGCACTCAAAAGAAGCAGGATGACTCAGGGGGCTAAGGACAACAGAGCACACCACATGCTAGGGTGACCCGAATAGAACGCCCGGTCATTATCGCTGTACCTAGACTGAAAGTTGACCCAAATACAGCTATAATGACCGGGCGTTGTATTCGGGTGAAGACGGTAGCTTTTTTTTTTTTTGTTTTTTTTTTTTTACTACGCTGTCACGCGTCAAAATCTCCACCAAATCAAGTTCCAAGTTTGAACAAAGAGGCTCAGAGAGACTGGTGGCTTAAAGAGTTTGAAAAAAAAAGAGCTTTAAAGATCCTTCTGCAGATCCATTGAACCACCGGTCCACACGAGCCTACTGGTATACATGGTTAGAGCATTTCGATTCGGGCCTGGGTCGGGGCCCGGTAGCGAAAGAAGCAGGGCACTTTGAAAAGGTGTAGTTGCAGGGCCTTGGAAGGCAGCTTCATCAACTTAGGCTCATGTGAACGGGCGGTTTAAACCTCCTGTACACCAGGGTGTGGCGCCCCCCAACTGTGCGCCAAGCTTTGCCACCCAACTGCGCGCCAAGCTTTGCCAAACCGCCAGTGGCGCAGTTCTTTTCTGTTTTGGCTGGTGCGGCCAGCAATTGTGGTCCAGTAGCCCCGAGCCTCTGAATTTTATTTTATTTTTTGAATTTTTTCATAGGCGATGAAGAAGGAACCTTGCAAGGCTGGGGCTGAGTACTCTGGCGGTTTAAAATTGTAACGGTACGCAAAAGATAAGGATGGGCCCTGGCAAGGATGACCGACACAATTCGGGGCGGAAAAAAAAAAAAGAAAAAAAAAGGGAGCTTCAAACGAGGGAGAGCATTCCACCAAACAAACCTGTTTCGTCGGATCCTTCATTCTTGATATGATGACGCATGTGCCCAATGCGTAGACAATGTCTTCCAAGTTGGGATGCAAATGGAGACCGTTCCTCACGATCGCGCTAAAAAAGAAAATGCACCATATATAGCCAAGAAAAGAAAAACATAAACAAAAAATGCAATGAATACTATTGAATAGCTCCTCTTTTTTTTTCCCCCCTTTAGAGTTTTCTTTGCTTTTGGATATTCGAGATAATATATAAAAGGGCGATGAGAGGTAGAAAGCTTTGCTTGCAGGAAATTTGAATACTATTGAATTAATTTGAATAGCTCCTTTTTTTTCCTTTAGTGTTTTTCTTTGCTTTTTTTTTTTTTTTTTTTTTTTGGTAGCCGCACAATTTTCTTGTCACCTGTTTGGGAAGGCATTTTAGCAAATTGTGCACTTTTTATTTTTCTTTCTTGTATTCCCCCGCCTCCGTTCTTTTTAAAAGGGCGATGAGAGGTAGAAAGCTTTGCTTGCAGGGGGCCCCTGGGGCGTGGTCCCACTAGCAAAGAGGATCGGATCGAATGCCTGAATCTGGACGAGGTTATGGAGAGGTGCAGGAAATCGAGATTGAACTGCTTTTCTGCATCTCTGCATAAAACACATCCAGATTCAGGAGCTTTTTCCAATCCTCTTTGCTAGTGGGACCTCGGCCCTGTATACCCTTAGAAGTAGAGGTAGGTAGGTAATGAAAAAAAAAAAAAAAAAGATCTAACCAGCCCCAGGTAGGGATGCCAGGCTCTATTCCTGGCACTGAAATATGAGGGACGCCGGCCCCAGTTCCTGGCTGTAAAGAGGGGGGGGGGGGGAAGGGGAGGAATCAGAATTATTTTCGCTCATCCGATTCCGCCAGAATTCGAACTCGGGTCTGCATTTCAGCAGTTCGTAGGTCTTCCAGCTTCCAACTGAGCAAGGCCATTTCTTTTGCAGCACACAGTACAAAGAAATACTACCAGGGTGCAGTCCCACTAGCATAGAGGATTGTATTTAACAGCGGAATCGGGACGAGTTTGTGGAGCGGTGTAGACAATCGGCATTTGTCTGCTTTTCTGCATCTCTTCTTAAAACCCACCCAGATTCTGGCGCTTAATCCAACCCTCTTTGCTAGAGGGACTGTGCCCCTGAGCTCAAGTGCGCTCTTTTTCGATTGGTTTAGACAGCCACGACCTTTCACAGGCGTTTTGTTCAACGCGGCCATAAACGCACTGCAAAATTCCGGTAGGCTCGGGGCCTACCGGCTGTTACATGCAGCGCGTGCACACACGGGCCATTTTGCAGGCCCGACGGCCATTTTGCAGGCCCGACAGCGTTCAGGCCAAAAGCCTGAACTTCAGGCCGAAAGCCTGAAATCCAGGGCTTACAGGCCCCCTGTCGGTTCAGGCCAAAAGCCTGAAGTCCAGGGCCTATCCCTGGTCGTTTCAGACTAAAAATGGCAACAGCCTTTTTAGCCTGAAACGAAGGGCCATTTTCGGTCATTCATCAGAACGACCGGCCCTGAAACTCAGGCACCGAACCAGGGTTTCGGAAACAGACTATTATTAGTCTGTTTCCCACGCCAGCCCCTGGCACACTTCGGCATTGGCAAGAGCTGCCTCCTCGGCCTGACTGGCCTCCAGCAGTCAGGAGGCAGGCCGAGGTAGTACATACGACTTCCCAGGCACTTCCGAGGTAGGCAGTTGGTAGTTGTAGTCTTCAGGATTCGGGTGCAGCACTCTGGAGGGAGCGCTGCGTTGTAGTAGTGGTAGCGTTAGCTAGTAGTCTCCAGCGCTGGGCGCAGTAGGTAGCTGTAGTCTCCAGCGCTGGGCGCCATAGCTAGGTAGTACTAGAGAGAGAGAGCGAGAGAGAGAGCTTGGGCGGAGGCCAGAGGTACCTACCTACCTGCAGCGCCATTGCTCCAGCTTCGTCTTCGAGGTACCTGCAGCACAGCGCCAACATCACAGGTTAGTACTTGGTTCGTAACAGAGAGAAAGAGAGAGTTCTTCTTCTTCTTCTTCTCAGTCCACCATCTCTTCTCTCCCTCTCACTTCTGACTTCACTGCATCTGCAGACTATGAGAGAGGAGATACAGAGCTTGGTGACATTGGATCCAGACTCGACTTTCGGGGGTTCAGACATGGCAACGAGGGACTATTTGGGATKGGTGACCAAGACTTGGTGTTAACGACATTCCCATCTTCTTCCCTCCTTTTGTCTGTTCCTTATCTCTTCGTCTGTGTATGTCTGGACCTGGCGCWTTCTTCCTGTGTGCAGYGCCAGGCTCCTTCACACTTCGTGATGGATACAATGCATGTTTAGTCTGAGTTCAAACATTGATTGGGCTAGTTAGAGGTACTCTAGCATTCTGCTTCGTTACTCTGAACTACGTGAATGAGGTCAAGTCCTGTCAGGTCAGTCTTGTATCAAAGTCTTCCCTGCGCTCTTCAGCATCTTTATGTATGAATGAGAATGTACATTGCTTGTCGAGATTCTACTTGTACCGCATTGTCTATTCAGTCCTTTTCATCACATTGCAGATTCTCGGTTTATTACGTACATTGCATATCTGTGCATGTAACACGGACCAAAATGGTTGCCAACGCCAGTCGGTGATAAAAAGAACGCGCCTGCACGGTTACAGTTACATTTTCTATCGGTTCAATGCAGAAATCTGTGTCGTGTGTGTAGTGTGTGGTGGTCCAATGATCTGTGGGTCATGTCTCGTGTACTCGCCATGGGTGGGGTAGAGGAGGTAGGTTGAGTACGTAGAGGTCTTAGGTCTAGATTAGGTTAGGTAGGAATGTGTGTAGAGATTGTGGGCCTGACTGTGCACCGCCTCGTTCATATGCACTGCTCTGTGGGTGTGTCATGGATGTGTCTGGGTACTGTGGTAGTTTCCCGGCCTCATGGGTCATGTCTCGTGTACTCACCATGGGTGGGGTAGAGGAGGTAGGTTGAGCACCTAGAGGTCTTAGGCCTAGACTAGGTTAGGTAGGAATGTGTGTAGAGATTGTGGGCCTGTCTGTGCACCGCCTCGTTCGTATGCACTGCTCTGTGGGTGTGTCATGGGTGTGTCTGGGTACTGTGGTAGTTTCCCGGCCTCATGGTACACCTGCGAGAGTCCATACTTACATTGTACGATCCTGGCTCCGGTCTAGCTCCGCTCTCTACACCGCCCTTGAGTAGTAGTAAGGGTTGGGTGTAAAGTATCTACGATTCCCAAGGG